GAAACTTTTGATGAGTAAGGTTGCGAGTTTACGGGTCATAATAGATATTTGAAATTTTCAAATGAAGCACTAGTGGAGCAAAAGGACAGTTAATAAGAAATTTTTAAGAACTTGTTGGAGATATGAATAGGCCGATATTGCATAAGTGAAGTTCGTCATAACATAGCATGCGTGTGGGCCACATTGATATGTTCGGACTCAACGTACTTCGCAATAAATACCTCCTCCCAGGTTCAAAATCTCTTAATTTAAATTTTTGTGAGTCATTCGTATTTGGATAACAAAATCGCTTATAATTTGTTTTATCCACCACTACAAGTAAGGATATTTTGGAATTGATTCACTCAAATATATAGGAATCGCATGTTGTCTCTAAAAGGGTGCTACATATTTATCAATTTTATTGGTATTTTTAAGAAAAATTTGGATTTATATATTGGGAAAGAAATTAGATGCCTTTCAATTATTTCAAGAAGTTTAATGCCCTAGTAGAAAATCAGAAAGGCAAAAGAGCATTAAGTGCCTAAGAGCTAACAATGAGGGAGGATTTTATTTTCGTAAATTTAATAACTTTTATAGTAAGCATGGTATTTTTAGGCAGTTGAGAATTCCGGGGATACCTCAGCAAAATGGAGTTCTTGAGAGGATGAATTGTACTATTATGGAGCGTGCTAGTGTGTGTTGAGCATTGCTGAATATTGCAATGTTCCTGGGCAAAAAGCAGTTCATACAACTTATTTCCTAGTTAACAGGTCTCCCAGTGTAATGATTGACTACAAGACATTAGAAGAGGTTTGGAAAGGCAAAATAGTTAATTGTTCTTCCCTTCATATTTTTTGGTGTGATATATATTCTTTGATTCAAAATTAGAAGAGAACTAAGGTGGATGCGAAATCCAAAAAGTATGTTTTTCTTGGTTAAGTAATAGTACAAAGGGGTATAGTCTACTTGCTGCAATAATATTATTAATTGAGATATTAATAAAAATTATATGCAAAAAGAAAAAAGATGAGCTAGATGCAAAAATTGTAGAGATAGAATGCACCCAAAAGTACCAGTGAGATGGTTCAGGACCAAGAGCCTAAAATTGTTCAAGAGCTTAAAGAATATTTAAGTGCGTTTGAACTAAGAAAATCTGAAATATTTAAATAGATTCATGTGAAGCTTAACAACTATGCATTGGCCTATACTTGTCTAACAGAGGAGGGTGAATCAATTTCTTCTCGCAAGGCATGTAAGGTCGAAGAAACTAATCAATAGAAAACATCTATGTAAGAGAAGATAGCCATGCAGAAAAATTAAACATGGGACCTCTTTGAATTATTGGAAGAGAAAAATGCAATTAGTTGCAGGTGGGTCTTCAAGAAGTAAAAAAGTCTTAATGATGATATTGAAAAATATAGAGATTGATTGGTTGTAAAAGGTTATGTTTAGTAGTCAAATGTTACTTTTTAATAAAATCTCTCTCATATGGTGTACATGAGCGTTGTTAGAGTTGTTTTGGCTATAGATATTGTTTTTGAATTTTCCTAGATGTGAAGCTAACTATTGTACATATTTTCGTGGTAGTGGTGATTGAAGCTTTATTATTTTATTATTGCATGTCGAGGATATAATTATTGCAAGAGAATATTGCAATACTTAAAGCTTAGTTGGTTAGAGAATTTGAGATGAAAAATTTGGGAGCTATTAATCAAATTATTGGGATGTGTGTATTTAGAAATAAGAAGAACAAAAAAATCTAGTTAACTCAAAAGAGTTATGTGAAAAAGGTGTTGCGGTGCTTCAATATATAGAATGTTAAACTATTTAGTACCTCATTTCTTGTGCATATGAAGTTGTTTTCATAACGATGTCCTACCTCTGTGCCTTAAGTGGCATAGTCATCTACAGTAGGGAATTTTATATTTTATGGTTAGCACCAAGCTGACATAATACAAGTAATGATAGTTGTGAGTAGACACATGGTAAATTCTAAGCATGATCATTGGAATGATGCGAAATGAATCATTTGTTATTTGAACGGAACTTGTAACATTGGTATTTATTACAGCATGATGGATTTGAAAGTTGTTAGGTATGTTGAAAAATCAGCCCAGTCAGCTCACACTCAGTCGAACTTACTCAGACTCAAGGAGCAGCCAAGCTCGAGTTGGGGGTCCAACTCAGAATCTTAAAAAAAAAAATTCAAAATTTTATAAAAACTCCAAAAAATAAAAAATCTATTTGAACTTCTTATTTATTTTTATGTTTTCTATTATTTTGACAAATATTGGAAAGTATTTTGGCCATGAATACTTATTTTTATATTTTTTCATCTTTTTGGAAAATTTTAAAAATACCCCCATCGCAAACTAATTTTTTAAAATCTATTTTTTCACTACTGTTTGTAACCACATCTAGACGTATTTCCTTTCATTTTTACATTTTTGTGCTGCTACAATACCCGGCCCCGCTCGGGCCGCTGGGGCATGGGCCGAGGATTTAAAAAAAGGTCCTAAGCAGTGGTTTAGAAAAATGAAATCTTCTAGAGGAGAAGACTTGCAAATGTAAATCATTCTTACGTATTATATCTAAAGAACGTTAAATTACCAATCAAAAAATATTAATAAAAAATTGCACTCATTTTATGCTGGGGTTCCATACCCAATATGCAAATGAGGGACCTCTTGGCAGCTTCGCACCTACCTACACTGGTACCATATCTGACTACCTCCAGCAGTACAAAGAGGTCATAATCACTATTGATCATTAGATTTAAAACCAAGTGATTAGGAGTGTATCATTAATTGAGCACAAAATTCAAAATAAAATTTCTCAAACTATGCAATACACCCAATCCATCGAACTTCACATCCGATGGATAGGAATGATTGTGAACCCTTGTACTAAAACCAAGTAGTATAGTATTCCATCCTTTTACATTAATGATCTATCTTTGCAGTTTTCACTATGATCAATAACATTTTAGCCCCAGCTAATGCATTCTGTCTTTGAAGTTTTGTATAAATTTGTAACTGTACATTCTCATTGTTCATGGAAAGAGTAGTGATGAAATTTTAGTTAACATACCAAAAAAAACAGGTGCTCGTGATCATATCTGTCTTATAAGAACATCTCACCGTTGACTAACACTCACTCTCTCTAAAAGCTCGTCCCTATCTAGTAAACTCTAATTACATTCAGTCACTCGTATTTCATGTGTACAAGAAAAAAAGAAAAATAAAAGATGAATGCAATATGGGTATTTTGTACTTCAGTACTTTGCAAGCATGAAAGATTCCCATGAAATACTAATGTTTCTACTACCCATTGTCATTTGAGCAACCGTTAGTTCCTTTTTTTTCTGTCTTTTTTCCTTTTTGGATTTTAAAAGATGAGATATTATTTTGTCGCGACCAAAGTTCGAAGGTAGAGAAGTACCTCTTCTTTAAAGAAAGTTTTAGGTTTAAATACCATGACTAGTACATGCATTTTTAAAAATTTCCTAGGGCAGCTTTGGTATACATGAAATATTTTCGTGAAATTATTTTCAAATGAATGAACTGCCCCATATCGTTAAAAGTAGGATTTCTTCACATCAATTAGTCACAATGCATTTTTCACACCAATTGGCAGCTAATAAATGTGAAAAAACTCCTAAACCTAATCATATGGGAGAGTTCTTTTATGTGAAAATACTTTTACGAAAATATTTTCACGTGTAACATGTCCCTACAAAATCTACGTCCCTACAAAATCTTCGATGAATTTACGAGCTTGTCCCAACAATTAGTATGATTTCATAAAACAATTAGCATATGTTTCTTTTCGAACATACATTGTCACCTGTTTCTTGTATTTTGATACGGTTTCCTTTAAAAATTGCCCAAAATTGGTTTCATGCCAGTACCTAGACAGCTCCAATCTCCAACTGTCGTCATCAAATTCCAGAAATGCCCATCAATTTAAAATCATTAAAAAGTATTGCACTATTCATTTTTTAATCAACAATCAAAATGTTATACCAACACTAATGCACCATATCCCTGAAGTTCAAAGTTAAACATGTTTGGGACGAAGTAGTACTAAGATGGGTGATCTCCTGAGAAGTCCTTGACACCTTTACAGGTAGGGACCACTATCCCCCACTAATTCACACAAAAGAACAAAAAAAATGCAACATGTCACACTGGGATAATATCCAGTGTGGATACATAAAAGGAATAGCCTTTATGGAGTACTACTTAATGATGTAATAACTCCATGGTTTTCATTTCTAGTAATAACTTCAACTTTGTAGTACTTCTTTTTTTTCTATCAAATTAATTCATAACCATTCCCAATGCTATTCTCTCAGATTTATCCTAGGAGGGCTTAGAGGGGCAGCAAGCTATAGAGATGGATCATGAAATTTATGCTTCTATTATATAATATTGTTAACTCCGCCTTGGCCTGCCCAATGCCAATCATGCTGGTCCCAAACCTCAGTAAACGGCTTGTGTTAGATAGGCAACTATTGTAAGACTTTGCCACATCTTTTAATGAATCTTGAACCTATAATAATTAATTAGGTAACATTGTTGTACACTAGCATGTAAACAGGAGCAACATTCATGTATTCTTTTTAACCAAGTTGTATTATGTTTTATGAGTCAGTAAATAAGGAAGTATTGAATGACAGATTATATCCATGGTCAAAAGTACTACCGCCATCCAAAACATTCATGAAGGGTGATCCACAGAGTAGATGACATCAGAACATGGCAGAGCCCAACTTATAGGGCCCCATTCTCTCCATCAGAATCCATCAATTGTACTGCGCAGAGATAATAAAAGTCATAAAGGGAGCTTTATGATCACATCGATTATTATATACACCCCCTTGCAAATAACATTTTAATAACTTCTGTTTACACAATTCAGATCCATCAGAATCAAAGCTTTTCCTAAATTCCCAATTTTAATAAGACCAGACTGCAATTGACATTGAGAAAATAGATGAACTAGGCTAGACACCATTGAACCAGAAACGCAACAAAGTTTGCATTCACAAACAAAAAGAGACATTTTGAAAGAGCTTGAAATAGCCAATCTGATGAACTCTAAAACTTGAAAAGATAACCCAAGGCTCAACTGACTAATATTGCAAAACTAGATTACAAACGACTTTAACATAGGCATCAGTTCAGGCCCTCCATTATTATTACTCATATAACAAAGTTAGAAGGAGAGGTACAACCTTCCTCAGTCATTCAAACGACAGAATATGTTCTGACATATGCTACCACGTTGCACACTGGCAATGGTAACATGCCATTGGCTTACTATTTCTTCAAAGTTTTGAGGGTGATGGATACCATCCCCATGGTTCATGTGATGTGTACGTTGTCACCTGCTTCACGTTCAAGTAGTTGTTGAGACCCCTACATACAACAAAGATCTGGCAGTTAGATTAGCTATGTGACCACTCAAAAGGTTAGCAATTGCATATGCAACGCTCACCATTCTCCTAGTTCACGTCCAAAACCACTTCGCTTGTTTCCTCCCCAAGGAGCTTGACAGAAGGTTGGCTGAGAACAGTTTATCCACATAATTCCAGCATGCAGGTACTGCAACAGAAAGCCAAGGCTATGATCGAGACACAAACGTAGAGGGGAGAGAGAGATGAAGAAAAGGAGGGGGTTGTTGCCCTATAAAGATGTTTAAGTTTCAATTATTTGAAAGAAGAACACATTCATATAACAATGACTCATAAGGACTTGTAGATCCCACAAATGTGATCAGATAAAAAAATCAGGCGTCTTGGTCTGAGTGGCAAGTGTGATTCTGCTCACTATTGTTTTACTAGGATGTATCTTGGATAAATACCTGTGATACACGGTCACATTGCTCCAAATCTTTTGAAAGCACAGCACCAGCCAAGCCATAACTGCAAATGGACCACAGATGAATTTCAATCAGAATTTCAGGTTACTATGCAGCTAATTTTTTGCAAAAATCTTATATACAAAATCCAAGGAAAGGTGAATTTACTCAGAATCGTTTGCCAATTCTATAGCCTCATCTTCAGTGCTAAATGTTTTGACACACAAGACTGGACCAAAAACCTCCTCTTTCCATATTTGCATGGAAGTATTCACATTTCCTATGATGGTTGGTTCAACAAAATACCCTTTCTCCAAATGCTGTAAACAAGACATGCTAGAAATGAGCAATCACTTGAAAGAGCACAAAAGCAAATAGACTGTATGTTAAAGGAATTTTACTTGAGGACGATCACCGCCACAGAGTATAGTTGCTCCTTCGCTCTTTGCTGTGGATATGAATTTCATGATCTTTTCATACTGCCATGAATCAAAGAGAAGGATTTTTGTAACAGACTAACAACGATCGACAGCCCATGCAATGTAAGGTCACACACTCGAAGATAATATATATTGAGGAGGGGGGGGGGGGAGGGGGCAGGAGTTTGGGGTGGGGTGGGGTGGGGAAGAGGGAGAGATTGGATAGAGATCAATAAGGGACTCGTGATGCACAACTGAAATGTATGCCGGATTACTTTAGCTTGAACATGTAATTAAGAGATTGTAGCCACCAAACAGGAAACCCATGTCACATGTGGTAATAATACAAGTGGTATAGTGTAAAAGAAGTACATGTATCAATTTAAGACAAGAAATGCAAATATTGGTACAACATGTATATGCCATTTCTTCCTGTTTGTATTTTACGAAACAGTTCCCATATGACAGTTCTCGATGGTTCAGGTGTGCCTTACAGGTGCAAAAGCTGTCTTCACGAACCAAAAGCTTTTCATACAATCCTATTTTTTCAATCTGGAGTTGTGAATACAGCTGATAAAAAGATGTAGCCTCCATGACATATCAATAAAAAGTTGATGAAAATGACCTAAAGCATTGTTAATTAATCTCAATCTGGAGTTGTGAATACAGCTGATAAAAAGATGTAGCCTCCATGACATATCAATAACAAGCTGATGAAAGTGACCTATGAAGCATTGTTAATTAACGCAATATGAGATTAATAAATATATTCAAGTGGTTATTAACAAAAAGAACTAAAAATTGCAAAATATATCCAAGCAAACTAATAAAAAAGAGTTTAAAAACAACTGTACTCAAGTCATAATTCCTTTCGCATATCAAAATAGCAATTAGCACATTTTGATGTACTGAAAATCAAACTAAATAGTTACAGTCAGAATGTCAGACAACTATGGATGCATCAATGTATTTAAATGTAATATAACTAGATCAATAAGGCACTGGTGACATTTAAGTTCATGATAGAAATCAACCAAGGAGGGTCAATTTTTACCTGTCCTTTACTCACAACAGGCCCAAGTCTACAACCATCCTGTAGAGGATCTGAAACCTTGATGCTTTTGGTCCAACCAACAAGTTTCTCCAAAAATTCCATTGCAATACTTTCCTACAGAAATCAAATAAAAAAATTCAAAACCATGCAATTAAATAAACACTAGGAAGAGATTCCTGAGAGAGAGAGAGAGAGAGAGAGAGAGAGAGAGAGAAGAACACACACGACACCTACTACTAATAACTAAACTAATAGTACTACACTATACGTACGGTCGTCCGTTCCGTTAGGTAAGTTAAGTTTACGTTTACTTACCTTA